GCTATCTCAAAGAGAAAAAAAAAAAAAAAGAAATGCTAGGGAAAAACTCTACAACTGCAGCTGCTGTTCCATTAGCATGATGGGGCTCTTGAAGCAGGAGCACTTCCACCAAATACGACTTATACTTTGTGATTTCTTGTGGTTCCATTTTCTGCAGTAGTAGAAGAAAACAGGATCAGGCTAAATCTCCCCATCCCCACAGAACTCAATAAAACCTTTGTCAAATGACCGCACATATATTCACAAAGTATTTCCTACTAGCAATTCTCAGTCGTGAAACCCAAGTCATTAAGCACCTATTTGCAGGTCCTATATGGGGGGTTTCTCGTTTAGCATTTAATCCTCATAACATCCTGGGAGCAGGTATCATGGCCTTAATTGTGCATGTTAAGACACAGGTACTCTGACATATTAAGTCACTATCCAAGGTCATACAGGGGTGTCAGAGCCAAGAGTCAAACATCCGGTGTTCTTAGTGTTTTGTTTTGTTTTGTTTTTTAATATGCTTAAACCCAAGCTAAATGTCACAATTGACACCATCCCCATTCTGTCATGTCAAATTGGCGCGATCGCACTGTCACTGGAGACCAACCCTGCGTTCTATCACAGATTCTGGTAATGATAATTACCCTGCTTTCCAAGTGTGAGCTGCACGTTATTAAAACGCTTTCACTAAATCGTAAGAAGCCCAAACCTGTGCACAACAAAGACTGTCACAAAAAGGAAGGGGCTGGCTGTGCCCCCAAGATCGATGGGGTTCCCTCTCTGTTAGTGGCCCGAATGGGCTCTCCCACGGGCTACGTGGGAAAGTGCGAGCGTCCTAGGGGTGGTGGGGGCCGCACCCGGCGCGGGAGTCACGGGGAACCTCGCTTCTCGGGCCAGGGCCGGAGGAGCCGCGCCACGCGCTTCCCGGGAGGGTCCTCGCAGCCCACCCGCGCCCCCAGGCCTCACCTTGAGAGTCTCGTAGGCGGTGGCCACGAGCAGGAAAGCCTCCTCGGCGCTCTGCGGCGTGCGTCCGGGGCCCTCGTCGCCGGGCTCGGGCCGGTAGCGGTCGGGGTGGTAGCGCCGGGCCAGCTGGCGGTAGGCCCGCGCGATCTCCGCCTTGCTCGCCGTGCGGCTCACGCCCAGCACCTCGTAGCAGTCCCGCGTGCCGCAGTAGAGCCCCTCCACCAGGGCGCCCGCGGGCCGCGCCAGCAGCAGCGCCAGCAGCAGGGGCGGCAGCAGCACCAACCAGCGCCGGCGGGCAGCCCCGGCTCCCCGGCGCGGGGCGAGCGGCGCCGCCATCCCGGCTCGGCCGCGGCTCCGCCACCCGAGCCGCGCTCCCGCACTCCCGCACACCGCGGCGCGCCCGGCTCGGCGGCCCCGCCCAGCTCCACATCAGCAGGCTGCGCCTCCGCGCAGGCGCACCGCGTGGGGCTGCAGCAACCACTTCCTTCACGACCGTTGCTAGGGGAGCAGGACGCTTCAGCCGCCCGGCCGCTTCCGGCATGTCTCTGAACGCGTTTCGGGTCCCAGCGGCCTGAGGATTTGTTCTCAGGCCGACATACCTAAAGTATGTCTCTGTGTCTGAGGCGCACTTAACCAGTGGGTGCAGAGCGCATTAGGATCCACAATGCCCTTCCCAGGCAAACTTTCCAGCATCGTGACTTCACCTGCTGCGACTGGTTAGTCTGGCTCTCTTGCCATCTGGTTGTGTGCCCAGGGTGTTAAAGCCGGGTCTCCAGCCCCAGATTCCCTCTCACCGACCCCATCCTGCCTTTCCAACAGGAAGCTGAACTTAGGCATTCTAGGCTCCATCCACCTTAAAGTTCATGGCCATCTAGTTTCAGGTTTCTCAGCCGTCACACTATTTGGACTGGATAATTCTTTGCCTTGTAGGGGCGTCCTATGCATTGTAAGATGTTTAGCAGCATCCCTGGCCTCTCCACACTAGATGCCATTAGCACCAGCACCCCAATCATGACAATCAACGCTCAGGTTTCCGGATTAGGAAACCATGTGCCATTCCTGAAATACGGAACACAGAAGGAAAGTAAACTTTTTTTTTTTTTGGTGGAGGGAAGTGATTAGATTTATTTACTTTTGGAGGAGGTACTGGGGGTTGAACCCAGGACCTTGTGTTTGCTAAGCATGCTCTCTTACCACTTGAGCTATACCTGCCCCCCAGGAAAGTAAACTTATGTTGTAAGATGAGGCATTCTTTTGAGACATGCTGGGTTTGATATGCCAGCCATCTCCACATTGGATCATGTTGTTTCCATATTTGAAACATTTGATGATTCTGTTTGAACCTTGCCTCCCAAGAGGCTCTTCAGCTATGTTTCCCAGTCCACTTCCTTCATGCAGTCTCCTCCCATGGCAGCTCATTGCTACCACTTCAGGGCTCTCCTTCCCTAATGGAGGGAATTCCCATGCTGCCTTGAGATAAAGGTAATTTTCTACGTCACAGATTTGGTCATGTTACTCTTACCCAACTTCACCCTCAGAGTTCAGATACCTTAGCTCGGCTTTCAGGATTCTATGACATCCTAGAGTCTCACATGCTCTGCTTTTGCTCATGCTGGTCCCTCTGCCTAAAATACCATCCATCTCCCACTTCAAGGCCTTCCTACCCGACCTAGCCTAAGGGTCTCCTCTATTTGGACTCTTCCCTTCGCAGGTCATGGCTCCAGAGTTGATTTAGAGCTCCATAGTCAAGATAAAACTAAAGTTTGAAAAGCTCACTTCAAAGCAGATAGAACTTTGGTCTGTGGCTGTTATTGATTTATTGCCTCTCAGCTGCAAAGGCCATCATCCCTAGCCCTGAGGAAAAGTACTCTGCAGACTGCATTTCCCTGTTGCCTGCTGGCTGGATGTTAAACTCTGCCAATAGAGGGCGCTTGAAGCACACTGCAAATCTGGAAAAGGAAAAGAGGAGTTTTTTGGGTTTTTTTGTTTTTCCTAGATGTAAACAGATCAACGTGTAGGTTTCCCTGTTCCTTGTTGATTTTCTTTGCCATCATATCAGTGATGGCTCCTGTTGTGAGTTGAATTGTGTTTCCCCAAGAAAATATGTTCAAGTCCTAACCTCTGGTACCTGTGAATATGACTTTATTTGGAAATAGGGTCTTTGCAGATGTAATCAGTTAAAATGAAAATCACTGAGTCTAATGACTTGTGTCCTTCTAAGAAAACAGAGATGTGCACACAGGGAAGCAGAAGTAGAAACTGGAGTTATGCTGCCGCAGGGCAGGAAAACGCCAAGGACTGCCAGAAACCATCAAAAGCTAGGAGAGAGGCATAGAACAGATTCTCCCTCAGGGGCCTCAGAAGGAACCAACCAGGTCAACACCTTGATTTCAGACTTATAACCTCTAGAACTGTGAGACAAAAGTGAGTGTGCACTTCAAAATGACCAAGATGGTGGATTTTATGCTATGTTTGTACACAACAAAAAATCTAAAAGAAATGGTCAATGCAAAGTGTAGCTACTACTCTTGCGACTGACAGAAAAGTAAATAAGGAATTTAAAAACTCAGAGGAAGCTCTTGCCCCAAGTCTGAGATTAATTTTTTTGTGTGGCAAAATACACATCACAAAACATACCATCTGAATCATTTTGTTTGTTTATTTTATATTGATATGTAATTGACTTACAATATTATATCAGTTTCAGGCGTAGCATTTTAAATCGCATAATTCAGTGAATTTGAGAAGGAAAAGCCAGGCTGGGCTAACAAGCTAACTCGTAAATCTAAGTGTAACAATTGTTGGATTACTGATCTGAGTTCTGCTGGGCTAACTCCTAAATTTAAGTCAATAAGTATTGGTTTGCTGAATCCCTGCTCATGTTTTTTTGCTAGCCAGCTGGATTTTCAGAGACATATCTGGCCTTGAAATGTTGATTTGCTGCCTCCCTGCCTCTACTTTTGTGATAATGATGCTGCTAAAGCTGTTTCATGCCTATTGGTCGAATACCTCAAGCTTGTAATTAACCCTATAAAACCTCTTGCACATGTCTTGGAGGTGCTCAGAGCTTCAGAGCAGAAGCCCCTCTGAGCCCGCTGGCGTAATAAATCTGAGTACTCCAACCCTCTGAGTAGTGCTTGTTTCTTGCTGGCCTGTCATTTCCCTAACAAATTCATATTAATTCATATAATAAAGTTCCTTCACAATGTTGTCCAGCCATCACCAAGATCTAGTTCATCATCCCATGAGGAAATCCTGTACCTATTAAGTAAGCATTTACTACTTCCTTGGCTCTGTACCCCTTAGAGTTCTCTTTTACCCCTTTTAGTTGTTAACCATGGCCAGCACCATCAAAGAGGATGCCTAAACTGGGCTTAGAACTCTAAGGGAAGATAAACTAGAGGGCAGCCAGGGAGGACCAGAGAAGGGCCAAGCCAGGCGGGGTCAGATGATAGACTAGTCACTGGGGCTACATCCTGGACAGAATTACCCTACTCAGAGAAGTAGACCATGTGCTTGAGAAGTCCAGTTCTCATTTGATCTCTCGTTGTAGGAAACCCCATGAAACAGAATCTGGAACAAAATATTAGGAAAACTACCAAATACACAGTACATTGAAAAACTTGGATGGGATGTAAAAGTTCCTTGAAATATATAAAATGCCCAAAGTGGTGTCTGTAATAAATATTAAGGAAACTGGAAAAGTCATCAGACTGTCTCTCCTGAAAAGAATAAGTTGTTACAAAAAAAAAAAGAAAGAAGAAGAAGAAGAAGAAGAAGAAGAAGAAGACTTTCAAAACCTGCCTACTCGTTTTCTGAGGTTAAGGTTACATAGATTCCAAAACCAGATAAGAGCAATACAAGAAAATAATAACAGCTCATTGAATCTAGCAGTGTTTGTAAAGAGCCCTACATCTTACTCCGGTAGAAATGGATGTACCACTAAATGTAGCTGCCGGGCTGCCCCACTTGTAATGTTTTCCCCACAAGCCCTGACCACAGAGCAGAGCTTCTTCCTTCCTGGCTTTCTTTCCCAAGCCAGTACAGGAGGAAGCAGGGAGGCTTATCACTCACTGGTTCATTTTGTACGAGAACCCAGGCAAGGACTGGGGTCTGAGGGTTATTACCACCTGTGGCTCAACTCATGAGGCAAAAATGTGTTCAATAAATTGGAACAATAAGTCAGAACAATCTCCTGGGTGGGTTGTGTTGACCAATATTAAATTATTTGAGTAAGAACGTCTGAAGCCAAAACATCCCTGTAATCTAATCTCTACCCTTTGACTCTATTTCTTTTAGCCCAAAGTTCAAGATTAGATGATCATGCATGGAATTTTGAGATGTAGTCTCTACATTCTATTCCTTAATTATCTATTCATACCTTGAATTTCTTATAAGGGATATAAAAGGAGATGCAATTAGCATAGTAAACAGTGATTTCTTCACACATAACCTCTTGTCAAATGACCTCAGCAAGTTAGTAGATATGAGCTTATAGAGTTTCTGACTAGCAACTTGATCACAGCTGATTCTGGATTCTGGTGACTGGGACATCATATGGAATATTATTAATTTTCTAGTATCAACATGGACTTAAGACTTCCATGAACTGAGCTTTGTTTCATTTGATGTCAATTTGTCACAGACCAAGCACACATACTTATTCCAAAACAGAAGTCTCTATTAATAGTACCATTTTCAAATTTACAAACACACTCTCATTAATTCACACACATTTCAGGAAGTATCAAAAATCTTTCTTTTCCAAGTAGAGAAAAAAAATGCTCCAATGCATGTATATTTTAAAAGTAAAATTACAGTTTAAAAAGCTAATTCATGTATGGCAGTGACTTTAAGGCTACAACACCAAAAGCATAATCCACAAAAGAAATCACTGATCGGCTGAACTTCACTAAAATTTAAAAACTTCTGCTCTGTGAAAGACAATGTCAAGAGAATGAGAAGACATGCCACAAACAGGGGAGAAAATACTTGCAAATGACACATATGATAAAGGACTGTTAGCCAAGACATACAGAGAACTCCTAAAGCTCAGCAGTGAGAAAATGAACGACCTGATTAAAAGGTGGGCCAAAGACCTTAAGAGATACCTCTTAAAAGAAGATATAGAGATAGCAAATAAACATATACAAAGATGCTCCACATCATATGTCATCTGGGAAACGCAAATTAGAACAACAATGAGATACCACTACACATCTATGAGAATGGCCAAAATCTGGAACCCTCACAACACCAAATGCTGGCAAGGGTGTGGAGTGAGAGGAGCTCTCATTCACTGCTAGTGGAAATGCAGCATGGTACAGTCGCTTTGGAAGATAGCTTGACATTTTCTTACAAAACTAAACATACCCTTATTATACAATCCAGCAACTGCACTC